ATAGCAGTGATTTGTTGGGAGCATTAACCCCCCAAAAATACAACATCCATGGTAGCTAACACCTAGAAAGGTGATTATTTTAACCATTAAAAATGCATTGTTGCTGGTAGGTTATTAAAAATTACAAAATGAATTTATATTTCTCCTCTATATATTAAATAAGAACTTTTCTGTATTTGTCTCAACATACATTGATAGATTTCAGCAAGTAAAAATATTACAATTTATAATTATATTTTGAAAAATAGTCATGTATTAGGACCTTAAAACAACATTATTATTAACGTGTGTCGTGTTGGTCCTGTGATTCCCACAGCATTACGCCTTGCACAAGATGACTTTATCTCTCTAATGGTCGTTGTATCGCGCAAAAGAATAAAAGATGAATGAGCCCTTTTTTTCCTTGCACATGGAGAGGACGAGCCCTGTCAATCGGTCGTGTCGACATTGTGCGCAAAAGGGAACAAATCAAGTGTGCCAAATTTATGTGAGGGGGTAAACAAAAACATTTCCATAACAAAACGAGGCTTCGACCTGCAACAGGATCCACATTTAGCTCCTCGGGGACCAGACAGGCGCTGAGAGACAAAAGACACTAATGCTAAATATAATTAAAATCATTTTAATTTTTCCAAGTTGTTACATGATGTACTTATATCTGCTGAACTAATAATTACTTAGCAGCAGGAGAGAATGTCAAATATTTTAAACTTCTCAAATCGCGAGTTATGTAGCGCGCGCGCACGCACGCACCCAAAGCCAACTGTAAAAGATTTCAAAGCAGAATTTATTAAAATAGCTCCAAGAATTGATACCGCCGTCCAGTATTAAACAATTATATTTTAAAACAAGTCTGGCAGCGAAGGCCTCCGGCGCACAGCATGTTTTACAGTGTTGGAAATGAATATTTCCATTGGCTGCTTTTAATCCTAAAAGTCACCTCTCAGCCAGCAGCCGATTATGTGATGCAGGTTTAACTAAAACTAACACACAACTTCCGAGAAGCGCCCCTGTCCTCGCCGAACGCGTCTGCATTAATAACTGATTTGTAATGGAATCATTACAAATGGATGCGTCTGATCCCAAGAAACCCAAGAGGAACCTCTTGGGCTCTTAAAAAACTCCTAAAACAGAGTGAAATCAGGGACCAAAAGTCGAACACTGACGGATGCGTGTGCGTGTGTGTGGGGGGGTGTTTCGGTGAGGGGAGGGGGAGGGGGGGGGGGGGGTTGGGTTGGAAAAGGGGGAGACCTCCGCTGATCGAATCCACTCACCGTGCTCGGAGATCACGCCGGGCCACCGCGGGCTCCTAGTCCGACTGAAGGTGGTGCGGCTTGGCTGGCTTGGTTGGGAACATGCTGCCGGCTGCGGCTGCGGCTGCCGCTGCCGCTGCAGCGGCGGGTGCCGCTGCCGCCGCCGGTGTTTTTGCTGCTGCCGCTCCGCCGCTCCGTGATGTCTCTGCGTCTAGCAGACACATCAGCGACGAGCGAACGGATCGACAAGCGCACGTACCCACGCACGCATAAACAGAAACGAAACAACCCAAAAAAAAAGTTCGCCAACTGCCTTGTAGCGAGGAGAGAAGTTTAAAAAGCAAACCAAAAAAAGGGATGAGAAATGAACCGGTGCCGCTGCTGCCGCTGCGTTGATTCCGGCCGCGCATGTCGGTGCAATAATTCCAACAGTGAATAATACGTTTCTGTTAATGGCAACGTTTGAAGGCACGGAGGACTGACCCGGGTCCAGCGGTCGCGCCCATTGGATATGCTAATGAGGGACGGACTAAGCAATTAGCCGCTTCACTCTCGGACTTTATCCTCAGTCTCCCTTCTCTTTACTGTCCAACCTCCCTCTCCAACGACACAACACAACACACCGAAGCTCTTCTAATGCCCGGTTCACGAGGAAGGGGCGTGGGGGTGGAGGGGGAGTGTGGGGAGGGGTGGGTAGTGGGCGGGGGGGGGCCTCAACTGGGAACGTCAGTCTCCCTTTTTTTTTTTTTTTCTTCTGTCCCCGGCAGCGCACGCACCGCCTCACGAGCGCCGAGGACTCGCCTGCGCGTTTCTTCTCGAAGTATCCCTCCTCTTCATCACCTCCGCGACGCCACTTTTAACCCGAAGAACATCTGACAGCGCGTCCCCCGTAAAGTGTAAATCTCGAGCGCTTTTGCCTCTTTCTCGGTAACTTATTTCGTTTTTAATGTTCGTGTTTGACGAGGCTCATCCTTCTGAAACGATGTTTACAGTCTTTGAGTTGCTCCGGGGGCTTTAAAGTTGTCTCTGGATGGACATGTCTCCGGTAAAGTATAGCTGCGGGTTGACGTGCTACGCGGACATCGATAACAGACGACTTTGGAGTTCTTGACAAAACCAATAAACTGTTTCTTGAGTTTCTTTTCTTCTTCTTGTTCTTCTTCTTGTTCCTACTGCCGCGGCTCCGCTCTCCAAACTTTGACGCGCGTCTTCCGAGAAGGCAACAGTCCTCCTCCTCCTCTCGCTTTCAGCGCCAGTGTCAATGTGATCAAAAGCTCATTTGTCCAGCAGTAGACAAGTCGCTTTAACGTAACTTGCCATCGCGAAGAAGTCCCCCCCTCTCCTCCTCCTCCTCCTCCTCCTCCTCCTCCACCTCCGTCCAGCTCCCGGTTACTGCGCCTTCGCCTCGGTGCGCTCTCCAAAAAAGAAAAAGGCTTTTATTTTCCCTGGAGATCTTGTGGCCAGGCACTCAAACACCCCTAGTTCTCCCCCGAAGTAACGCACCAGTCGGTGTCCGTGTCTTCCAGTCGGCTCACGGGCTCACGTCGGAGTCAACTTGGAAACGATCTTCCCGCAGCCTCGCGCTGTCGGTGTCTCGGCGTTGGCCGGTGGCTGCGTGTGTGCAGGGGACTGCGCTGCGTGTGAGAGTTAACCCCCCCAGGCAGAGGTTCAGCCCATTGCTTTCAGTCACCGCTAGGATGTACCACCACGTCTCTCTCCAGCGGATCGCGCTCAGGCTCCAGTGTGAACACCCACATTTGAACTCTCATCATGCCATGGCGCACCAGTGAGGTCCTATTCATCTTGCACGAATTTTGCATTCATGAAAGCGGCGACTATTGAAGGCCCGACGGCCATCACAAGTCCCTTTAGGTCCACTTTTTTCTCTTTATGCACCATTTTACGCACGCTGGTAAACACTGGGAATGTCATTCACTGGCACTAATAACATCCAAGTGGTTTGTGATTTTAATACATATTTTAAATTCGATGTAGTAGTTTTTTTAAGATTGTATAAAATAGCCACCCCTCCCATTCCCCGTGCAGTGCTTAACATGCATACGATGTGAAGAGGTGAAGCGATGTTGTGCATCGATGTCAGCTCGTTGTGGTGCGAAAAAAGAAAGACATTAACCCTTTACTTAGCACGTTTATATTTGCATTAAAATCTCCGGCTGCATGTTCACATTAATGGGAAGGAGATTGAAGAGATTAAGATGCGCGTGACCGACTGGCGTGTAAAAAAAACACGGGGGGGGGACGTGCATGATTGTTTTATTAATAAAAAAGATGTAACTATTATATTTTCTTTTTTTTTCTTTTTTAGTTATTATAGACATCATTTATTAGTCATACATAATACATAACAGTTGGTTATAATATAACATTGTTTAAAAATGATGCAGAATATTTCATCGTATTGTTAATTCCAACGCGTAAAATGTGCATTTTGGAAGAAATAAAAAAAAAAAAAACGTTGTACCGTTTCCGTTTTTTGTGTGTGCGCGTGTGTTTGTGTGCATGTGTGTGTGTTTCGGAAGGAGGGGGGGTAGAGGTAGAGCCTCCCTTTCCCCTCCCCCTCCCTCCTGTCTGTTTGACTCGTCTATTCCCCCGCGTGCGCCTCTTATGAGAGACAAATCTGTCGACAACAAGGTCGTCCTGTGAACAAACTTTTTCTCTTTTTTTTTTCTCCTTCTCCTCCTTCCATCACCCCCCCCTCCCCCCTGCGAAGTTATGTCCAAAAGGCTGTTATTATCTGGTATTAATAGATGCAGCCCCCAGGAAGACAAAATCAGCTATTGATAATTGCAAGGAGTATACGGCAGCTACTGTATCGATCGGCGTGTCCTCCGCTCCCCTGGCACCGAGAGATAAGGAGACACACTCTTTAGAGCAATATAATTTCTTTTGACCTATCTGCTCGCTACAGACTTATGATGAATAGCCAGAGTGGCTGAAGTCCTTTATCACCAAAGTTACCCCCTTGATATAATATTGATTCTTTATAACTAGCTCGCCACACAAAAATCAAACTGTCCACTTGGCCATCATCATCATCAATATCATCACAAAGGCGGAGGAATGAAGATCCGCGCGCCTCCAAAGGCGAGCCCTTTTTTTTTTTTAACAATCTCCTCGCTATGGGCCTAATCTTTATTTTGCTGATGATGAAAGGAGAGGGGAAACGAGGCAAGGTGCCATTTAAAGACGAGGTGCCATTTAATCCGGGCTAGACAACACACAGGCATACAAAGAGAGAGAGAGAGGGGGGAGTAAGGGGGGGGGGGGCATCCAGATTGATCAGGTTTGCAAGAAGCTTTATTTCTGATTTTAAGCATCACGTGCCTAAACCCTGAGCCAGGAACAAACAAGGTCCAACATCTACAATTCAAACCATCAAACACGTGCAACAAGACCGAAATAGATTCCCCTTTAACTGACCGCATCGGGAAAGTAAGAAAGAAAGAATGATACGTCTGACACCGGATGCGCCCCGGAGGCGCGTTTGAACCTCGAGGAACAGGCGCTTGTGCTGCGGAGCCCCATCGAGGTGCTATTGGAGCGGGGCCCCTCTCTCTATTCAGCCTGAGAGCTACAGGGAGAGCGCTGCCGCGGAAGGGGGGGGGGGGACGTGTAATCACCCAAACAGCCCTTTTTAACCCCCCCACCACCCTCCCCTCCCACCTCCCACGACACTGCTGGATCTGTGCCGCAAGGTAAGGAAAGGGCCACTTGGCTTCAGCACCGGGCCTCTCTGCATCGGAAACTGGAGCGGCATGACTTTTGTTAGAACTCCTCTTCTTCTTCTCCTCCTCCTCTCCCCCCTTTCTCTCCCTCTACCTCCCCCTCTCTCTCCCTCTCTCTCTCGCTCTCACTCTGCAGTCTGCCGCGAGGCTGTCCGTCTTTCACTGCGGATACCGCGAGGGGAGGCCGAGGAAGACACCGAGAGGTAAAGGACGCTTGAATTCATTCCTTCTTTTTGGGGGTTTCTGGTCGTCATAATAAAGCGAGCAGCGCGTCAGCCGGAACGTTACGCATCGGATCGGCGTCAAAGCGGGGATGTGACTGACCTGCCGGCTTTCATGCACACGCCGTGTTCGGAGTGTAAAGCGTTTGATTCGACCGCTAAAGTAGCGCAGTGTGGTGGGGAGGTGGAGAGGGGGGGGGGATAACTGCGTCGCTTGCGTCAGCGTCCAATCAGACGTCTTTGCGCCGCCGCAACTGGTGCCAAGACGCGTTCATATACACACACACACACGCGCGCGCGCACGCACACACCGCAGGCTACTGTAGCAGACTATGGCAGCCTATGGCATTCTGCAGAGGCTTCTATTTGCACCAATCAGAGGCGACGTGTTACTTTTTTTTCTGCCATTGGATGATCATATAATAGCATCCATGAAGTGTCCATCTATTCTAAAATATTTATGCTGAATTGGAAATGATTTATTGTCATAGATAGTAGCATTGCTTGTAGTTTTAAAATATTACTGTGGCTGTAAACCTTTTTACGTGTGGCTAGTTTCTCTGGCTATGTTATGAAATTCATTTAGATTAAAAGGCCACATTTATTTTCCTTATAAATGATTTCATGTCTCGAGCCCCACTGCAATATTCTTATAATAAAAGCATTATTCCAGCAGAGACTTATTGAGACTTGATAGTGAATTTGGAACAAGCATTGATTTTACTTGGTGCTAACGTGTGATTGTAATATTCCTATATTTATTAGAATATTGTGTTTTTTTCCCAATACTACAAAGCATTTTCTATGGACACCTGCTGTGTGCTCCAGTGTTCTCAGTAAGATGTTGGTGGGTTCATTTTAAAGTATTTGATTTGATTTTCTTAATTTTTAAAGTTATTATTAAACTAAATATTAAATATTGGGTTTATCTTAGTACAATAAAGCAGCATTTTAACATTTAAAATCTGATCCTTGAGTTGTTTTTACAAACATGGGTAAGTTGTTTTTTTACTTTTGATATAGTTTCTCAGTAAAGTGTACATTTAAAGTGATAGTGATCTTTCTCTCAATGTCTTGTAGTTTATCTCATAATACTGCTGTAATATCTTTATAGTGGCTTTTGGATTTGATCTTACGGTGGCACGGGGAACCTCTCCGTGCTAGGACTTACATTAACCTTCTTTCATTAATGTGTTGAAGGTAAAAATATTTTGGAGGAAGCCACTCTTAAGTGTGTGTGTGTGTGTGTGTGTGTTGTATAATTAGACACTCAATGAAATAGCAGCTGGATGACATGAATATACGAGTGTGTTCTTTTCTCCTGACACGTTTTCAAGCTTTGCTCTGTGCTGCACATCCATTAGTTGAATATGTAAAACGCACACACACACACACACACACACACACGCACACATTACGGGATACGTAATTGTGGACATCATGCATAAGTAACGGCTGTTGTAGCTCTGGCTCTGCTAAGTGGCAACTGGCTGTGATTCCGCACTGAAATTGAAGTATTCCACTCCCACAGTTATCACACAGTCAGAGATTAGGAGGCATTTAAGTCTGTGTGATCCACGAACAGTTTTTACATGAGAACATTTTCAGTTATCATATCACCACCTGCTCATCCCGCCTCACACGAGGGCGAGCAGAGATCCCATGTGACAGGCCCGCCCGTACCTGAGATGAGTAAAATGTGATGTGACTGGTTCCCGTCAGGCCTAATTGAAATGAATCGAATCAACCCATTTCTTCTGCTACTGTAATTAAATTAGTAGCCGGGGTGTAATTGGACATCGAGTTGGCACTCGGGGAGGAGATGACAAAATGCTCATTGCCGCCACCAAAGGACCGTGTGTCAAATTCAAGTGTGAACGGCACGGCACCAAATGCTGGCTGACGCGTTGGCGGGGCTGGCGCTTCACTCCCAGAGCCTGCAAACAAAATCCTCCCATCATGGGCCAGACTCTAATATGTGGAGGGGGACACGTGAAGAGCTACCTGTGTGTAAACGAAGCAAACGCCATATGCGGTTTGTGTGGACAGTACGACGCGTCTAAATTTGGACAACATTTATTGTTTTTCCTGCTGGGCCCTGATATCCTAAAATAATACCAAAATGCTTAATGTTTCCATCTGTTAACGACGGAGAAGGTTCTTCTTAATCTTAAACTCAGAGTGCAATAAATAACCAACGAACAGAATACATTGTCTATATATAAACGTATATAAGCAAGGACATTGTTACATGCTGGTGTTCAGATTGGAGGCCCTGTATATCTCACATATCAATTTGGCCCTCCCAGGGAGGGAAGAGGTTTTAGTGCCCCAAAGCCTCGGTCATCTGTGACTTTAATGAGCACAACAGGGCTAAAGTCTCACTGATGACACTTAATCTCGATGGAATTCCTTGTCAGGTTTGACCTTGGGAAGATATTAGCCACTCGGCAAGTGACTGTGTGAGTGGGAAGGGAGAGGTGTCGCTGTGTCTCTGTCGACAGGTATGCGATTGCGGGTTGTGTGTGTGTGTGTGTGTGTGTTTTGTGAAGAAAACACTAGCAAAATGTGCTTTATGGAGCAGCTTTAGATTTGGACTGCATGATTATCTGTCAGTGTAACTGTGAGTCACTGAACCTTCCCTGTATGTGCACGGTGGTTCAGCTCTTCTGATGTACCGCTGCAGACGGGGGGGGGTTACTCCTTGTGCATGAGGGCAGTCAGCAGCCAGACCTGTGCTGGGACCTGTGGCCCGGTAGCATGTGTGCCACATTGTCTGTTCAATAGAGGCCTTTTGCATTTTTAAACAGCATCAGTTACTTCGGACTGTCATCGCTTTGGCACCATTTTCCCTGCTTAATCCAGTGTAGATACATGTGAATATCTACACTGTTTTACTGACAGGGTACAGGTGTGTGTGTGTGTGTGTGTGTGTGTGTGTGCGCGAGAGAGGGAGTACAGATAGACATGTAGCATCAGTGTGAGTATGTGTACACTTGCTTGATGTCCAAAATGAGAGAGAAGGGAAACAAAAAACATTTTCACAAGTTTCCTTGAACATTTTAACAAAAGCAACCTCCGTGAGGTCAGACTCGCAGTTTTCGGCAGCTTCCCTTCAGTCAAATATCTTCCAGAGCATCAGCTAGATGTTGCAGTTCCTACTACAAAGCTACAAGGCCGAGCGTTGAGAGCAACTCAAGCCTTTAGTCAGCTGTGTGAAACTGAGGTGGTGTAACAAACAGAACTTTATTAGCATCCTAAATAAAACTAAATTAGATTTCTGATGTGGAATCAATGACATAAATACCAGATTATGCATGATCACGCTTTGTATGCAGGCAGTTTCTGTTTTTGATTCAAGAAGCAGAACAAAATAGTAAAATGTTCTGTGATGTTTGTGACAAAGGTCATCGTATTTCCGGTGGAGGTAACCCCACTTTGGCCACTACAACTTACTCCATCTACAGTTGTGGATGCACCAGCGTGTCTACAGCCCTTCCTCTTTCCTCTCTCCGTCTTCACGGAGAAACACTTTGTCCGCACGCTGACCTATTTGCGGTAACCTGCTAATGAGCTTCCCGCTCTTTCGTATAGCGACAGACAGCACGTGTAAGCGTTTCAATTTCTTCCCTCCATGTAGCTCGCGAGATCCACCAAATTAAAAAGGCACAGAGTGAAATGAAATCACGGAGCAACCTCGCACCCGATCAAGCACAAGGTTGGCCCGTGCACTGTTCCGTGTTTTAGCCGTGTTAAGGCCCCGTGTTGCTATCAGTCTGCTGTGCGTTCTGGAGGGCTGCCAGCCTGTGGAGGAAGAGCACCTATTTTGCGGGGAGGTAATTGCTACACAGTAGCCTCTGATTGCCGGGATCTTTCACTGGGAACGGCCCCGCCCCCGTTTTCACTCGCACCGACAGCCTGATTACAAATCATCTTATTGATTTGATGAGTGCAAGATGTTTGCTAATAACTGCTCTCATACCATCTGTTAATCTTTGTTGTGATTAAAGAGGTAATCCCAATACCCATTATTCCCAATGACAAGAGCGGGGATCGTTCTCTTACACAAGCTTTAGTCCCTCACAGGCCAGGGAGGGGAGCATGGGGGGTGGGGGGGGGGGGGGGGGGGGTTCCGTTCCCAGGAAATCAGTTATCCTCGAATAGCAATGAGAAAATGGGTCCCCCCCCCCCCTTAAAAACGCATTCCAAAAAAGGAAAGAAAAAAAAAAAAGAATTACACCCCTCGCTAAAAATCCATTACCTCGTATAATCACGCAAAATGATTTTTCTTAAATATGATAATAAATCACAGGCTGGATCAATAGCCCGGGGACCAACTGCTAGGCCCTGATAACGTATCAATCAATATTGAGTATTTAGATTTTAATTAATACCTCGGTGGGGCTTGGAGCCTGTTGACACAGAGGGGAATATAATTTGTGATAAAAATGGGACAAAGTGGAGAAACTGATAAAGGAGAATCCTGTTTGCATTCCACAGTTGTCCCATTAAAATCCAGCTTCCTGTGTGTGTGTGTGTGTGTTTGCGCAGGTTTTTTGTCAGCGCACAATGGATAGAGGAGTTATGGATGTGTGCGTTTACATGGCAACATGAGCATCCATCACGTTTTGTAGGGATGAACTGGGGATACAGAAGATCATGTGTTGGATTACAAGCAAGAAATATTGCAGCTAAAAAAGCTCACATTGATTTTGCAGTTCCTCAGTATATTTTACAAGCCTTTTTGACTTGCTTTACAGTTGAAGACCTTGTACTGTGCAGGGTGTTATGCCTAATCCTGAATGTTGTAATCCTAATCTTCACGCTCCTGCAGGGTTACAGGTTTCTATCATACACTGTTGCCAGGCAGCATACAGCCAAGCCCCCTGCAATTCAATGACTGCTTAATTAAATGACTGCTGTGTGACAGAAACACGTGAGCAAATAGTTTAGCAAGTCATTGCATTTTGAATATGCACGTG